CTCTCTCTCTCTCTCTCTCTCTCTCTCTCTCTCTCTCTCTCTCTCTTGATCTGTCTATCATGTATCTATTACATTTATTTAGTCTAAATTTGACTTCACTTTTTCAGAAATGCATAGCATGGAAAAATTCAGTTGAGACTGCTGATAGAAAAATTGAGGAGAAAAAAAAATCTTTGCTTCTCTTCAACTCATGATCATCTTAGGACTAAGCCTTTCCTGCAAACAAAGCATGTTTGGTTTTTGTTTGTTTTTTTTTCCTATGTTTTTAGTGCCATCGAATAGGAGGAAGAAGTCATTTGCATCTCTGGGTCATAACCAAACTTCTCATTCTCAGAACAATCGATATACTTAAGCATCCTTTCTTTCATTGGGACAGGCTTGTCTGGACCAGTTTGAGCCTAACAACCAGTAGAAAACTACATTCAAGCTAAGGGTTTAAAAACAAACCACTGGTCTTGGATTAAGAAAGCCAACTTTTGGATTTTAGCTCTCATCCTACAAACTCAACTGAGTCCAGATGTCATTTTCCAAGATCGTAATATTTTAAGTCCACTTCAATCATCACATATATGAGATTAAAGGGTGCTGTGTCTGCACAAATGATTAAATTGGCTAGTAGATGGAATCATGTGTTACTTGACATACACATGCTTAGAGATTTCTTTAGAGTAGATGAACCTTCTGGGTATGGTGGAGCATGCCTGAAATCCCAGTGGGTAAAGCAAAAAGATTGCAAGTTTGAGGTTAGACACGGCAATTTAGCAAGGCCCTAAGCAATTTAGTAAGACCCTCTCTCAAAATAAAAAAAAAATAAAGAGGGCTGGGAATGTAGCTCAGTGGTAAAGCACCCCTGGGTTCAATTCTCAGTACCCAAAATAGTAGACAATCTTTAAAAAAATAGCTTTTATTATGATACTGTTCACATAAAAATTATTCTCTGTTCATTAATCACAAGATAGAGTCCAAAGTCCACAGTCTTATTTTCAAGCCTCCTCCCCAATGGCTTTAAATGTCTGTCTGACCTCATTCTGACATTTCCTTCACGAACCCTTTACTCCCACATTGGTCACACTGTGCTATGTTCTTCCCTTCAATGTCTGACCAGACACTGCCTTCCGTCCATCCCTCTGCCTCCTTGCACTTAGGCAAAGGGGCAGAAGCTCAACAATTCTGCTTTCTGATTTACAAAGCAATTTTTAAATCCTCTGCCAGGCACTGGAGGGTGGAATGAAGGAAAAGCTAGGCTACCTCTCCAAATTACTCTCTTTCCTGCCAATACCTAATAGAGCTTTAAGGTCTATTTGGTGTTCATTTGTCTCCAAAGCTTTCACTGCTCTCTGGTCAATAGTTTTCTCTCCCTCTTCTGAATTCCTATTGTTTTTTATTTTCTAAAACATATCTGCGAGGCTTGCCATTTCTCCTTATCTTGAATGAGCTGATTTTGGTACCTATGTGCCTCTCAAAAGTGTGCAGGATGCCAACAGCACATGTGTATTGCGTGTTCTCACATGTGCATAACACTCCTATGTATGTTGTGTCTTCTCAAAGAAGCTCCTGGTGCGGCAACTATTCACATACTCATTCTGCTCCCACAAAGGCCAGCATCTGCCATAGCAGGTATTCAGTAAAATGAATGAGAGGTGGAATGTATGCATGAAATGAATGGAAAAAGAATACTAGAGATAAATTTTAACTGCTATCCATTGGTGAGATTATCTTACTAACTCCCAAATATTTCAGAAAGGAGACAAAAAGGAAATAATGATGAGAAAACTGTTCTAGATAGGCCTATTGATCTTGCCAAAGAGAGATGCAGAGTATAAATGCCACAGCCTATGAAGCAACTGGGATAGGGCTCATCCACTTTGAAGAGAGGCCAGAGAGCACTTTGCTTGCATTATCATTCTGTTCTTTGTCTCTGAATCAAAAGAGAAGTAGGCAAGTTCCTGCCTTAAATAAATTATTTAGAATATTGATTTAACTGCCTGAACTGTGTTAAGTTATATCTGAACTAAAATACAACCATTTGCATGTTTCCTTTTATGGAACCTGTGAATTAAAACATGTATTTGGGATTTTTAAAAAAAGATACTTAGAAAGACAGATCTCCCCCTGCTCCATTTAAAAATGCATATTCATACACATATGTATTTATCAAGGATTGTATGCCAGGAAAGCTACTTATGACTGTAAAATGTTTAGTTTAGAGACATCAGGTTTTACATTTATAAAAGGGAGGGGAGCTAGTTTTTAGGCTAGACATTTATGATAGAGTTTTTCTATTTATAAATTCCTGATTACCTATCTTACAACATGTCATTAGAATATTCACTTATATTTTGTTAGGACGTTTTTCTTGGCTCCTAATGGTCTTGGGACTAGGCCTCTCCTGCAAACAAAGCATGTTTCCCTTGCCACATTCTTAGTGCCACAGAGTAGGAGGAAGTGTCCACTTGCATGTCTTGGTTATAACTAGGCTGTCATTCCCAAAACAGCACCATAAAGAAATATACTGGTGCATCCTCTTTTCCTCTAGGACAGCATCATTTGGACCAGTCCAAATCTCCTAAACGGTGGATGTTAAACCAAGCATGTTTGGGTTAAGCTAAAAACTTGATCTTACTGTGATAATCATGCAAAGTTAGAACATTATAACACAAATATAAAAGAGCATAGACTGACTTTCCTAAAATAACACGTGGTCAACATATATAGACACATGGAATTCATATCTCTTTTTAGAATATATTTCTTTAAAAGGAAAGTTTTTAAACAAAAGTAAACAAGGCATAAAATAAATAAAAATCCCTGAGTATTATTGATCTTTTCTAAGGCAGAAGTCTAAAGTGTTCTCCTTCTTATGGTCCAATAGTACAGCAAGTCTTCCAGAAAATTATTAAATAGGAAGTACAAAACAAAATTTCAGTGTATACTATGGCCATTTCAAAAGGAGAGCCTTTCATAGTTATATAAAGTTTAAAAAAAATTTCTATGACTATGCTTCTTAATCTATTGATTATATAATATAAATATTTGTTAATCTAAGAAAAGGGACAAACTGTAAAGTTGCAAAGATAGCCCATGTTGAACTTAGGCAAATTTCGCACAAAGTTCACTAGATTCAGAAAGAAATCTTATATGTAGCCGAAATGGCTTACAATGAACATTTTATTAGAACTCTTTCAATAGATACCCTTGATCTTTTCTACTACGCCCCCACAACTTCCTCACTGAAAGTGGAGCAAGCATATTAAACACAGTTCTCTACCAAGGAATAAAAGGCAAAGACACAAAACATGGAATGACAGACAGCAATGACTTCCTAGAAGCAATGAGTGGGCATTAAGTTTTAGAATTTCTTAAAACTAAAGAGAGAAAACAATTATTAGTAACTGAAGGTCTTTGTATAAGAATCAGAATAACAGTAAAATTCATACTCAATAAATTAAATTAACAGTTAAAGTTATTTGTAACTCCACAGATTAATCCATTTTTCCTCCCCTGGGACTCATTTCTTATGAATTTCAGCAACCTGAAACTTGTTATGATGTAAGGTGTGTTTTTTGTAGCTCACATAAAATTCACTCTTTATATTTCTCACCTCACTTGATTGACAAAGTGCATCATAGATGAGTGGAAATTCGCTGTTTCAGTATGTGATGACCAAAAGCCCTGATGAAGACATCATTTGTGTCAACATGCCTAGCATGGGCTGCCAAGGCCTGAGACTGTGGGGATAGTGATGGGAATCAATTCTTTTGAGCTATCGCATGTTGGGCTCTGGTCTCCATGGAGGCATGCAGACTATTCCCAGAGGGATGTCTCACTTATTTACATTTGTTTAACTTCAATATTCAAAACAAATTACATCTCCAAAGTTGCAACTGCCATAGAACAGTTTTTTTTCTAATCCAAGGTATCTATATATTCTTATCTCTATATCTAACAGTACATATCTTTGATTTCTTTTATTTCCCTTACAGACCAGAGATATCAGCAACATAGACAAACAAAAATAAAGGAAGTATAATGCACAAATATTGTCTGAAATCTTTGTTTTCTGAAATGAGAATGAAGAA